CTTCTTCTTGGAACAAATTTAAGCTTGGTATTCTGACAAGGAACTGAAAACAGCTTCCTCTGGCTTTTTATTGTGAGTCATTCCCATGAGGAAAACTGAAAAACAGTCCTGGGGATAATGCAACCAGAAATACAAAAGTTAAAATATCTAAATTAGTAGCTTTTCTTTGTCACTTAGTGCTGTGTTTTTATTAATGCTTTTATCTCAGCACAGTCAATAGACATTATAAAATAATGAATTTGCTCAGATTAGATTGGCAAGGAAAATCTGTGCTTGCTGGTTTTGAAAGGGGGTGAACTGTGCCCACTGGAGAACATGGCTTGCTGTCTGAACAGACAGTGAGTGGCACCAGCACTGCAGGTTTCTCTTCTGACAGGTCCTATCTGGGCATGAGGAGACACCTGCAGCTCTTTGTGCAATTGGTCCCTGACCACTTTGTGAATCTGTCAGCAAATCTGCTTGTCAGTTAGTGCCAATCACTACACAGATTCAGCAGTGTGGACACTTGCTCACTCTACGAGTAATTTTACGCAAAATATTCAGCTGTATGCTTTAGGCCCATATGCTTCATTTAAAGAAGCTGATTCTGTGCTCAAGGTACTTATTGCAAAGTAGACCTGTATTTGTGATGCTGCAGAAGATGTGAGGTTTGTGGGTTTGTTTTTTGTTTGTTTGTTTTGGTACTTAGGTTTTTTGTCAATACGTTACATCCTTCTTGTTTGGTCGGCCTGAAAAGGATTTTTCAGGCAGTTGGGTAGATAACAGCATCCTCATATGCCTTCTGATGTGTGTTTCATTGTTTTCTCTCTGCATGTTTTCCAGCACTGCATGCCTTTGTGATTTTTGAATGATGTGTTGGTATTTGTGAACATCTTTGTGCTGTCCCATCAGATGTGTAATGAGTGATTGATTGAGTTCCACGGGGTGTAAGTCAGTATGTAATTTGGCCTGCAGGCTTATCTAAACAAAAGAATGTACAACAAATAAAGTCAGCATTAGTGCATTTTGAGTGCTGATTTGTTTCAAATCAGATACACAGGAAACCAGATGTTGAAGTTTATCTAAAACACTTGCAGCCCAACATGTAACTAAGTACAGGAGTAATAGTGCACAGCACTTTTTGCATATAGTTAGCAACACGTTTGCAGCAAATGCAAATCTATTCTTATTCCTCAATTCACTTTTTCAGGTACTCTTTTATTTCTGTTCTGCTGGCAAACCACTGCTTAGTTCATTCTGGTCTGATTCTGAAGGTCTTCTGGGAACAAAATCAAATTCAGGGAGGATGTACAAGAGTTGCCACAAGAATCAACCACATCTCTAATGACAATACATTTAGCTGCCTAAAATTAGGGTAGAGAAAGTGGCTTGACTTTTTAAACTGTGTTGGGCACTTGTAGCTCTAAGAGTTGTATAAGGGACAGCCTGAGTACCTGGCATTTACAGATGATTTACAAATGAGTACAGAGTAAGGATTTAAAATCCAGCTTCAGATGCTCAGATCTGTAGCAGTTCTACAGAAAACTAAAATAAAAATATCCTTGTCTTATTTAGAGTAGTACACTCCTGTCACTCCTGTAGCTCCACAACAGAAATGAGGCTTTGATGATAACTTTGTAAAGAAATGATTCAGTCTATGGTAATGATGTGTTTTCCCATATTATTCAACATGACTTCTCAGGTGAGCTTAAAGGCCATTTGCCTGCTGAGATGTATAAAAATAAAAGCAAGCTGAAGAGGTTTTTAAAAGCAGGCTGGTGGTCAGGTGCCAGACATAGGCCCTTTGGCTTTCATAAGTTATTAAGTTTCCATTTTTTTTTCTGAGGAAAGTAAGGATTTGGAAACGTTTGGGGCCTAGACTGAGACCAGTTTGCCTCTCTCTAGATTTAAAAAAATCTGTATTTTTTAGTGAGGTGATATGAGTTCCTGCCACAAAAAAGCCAATGAGACATAATGCTGTGACCTCACAAGCAATTCCTCCCTGTGGATGAAGGAAGCACAACCATCCCGAGGATTTTCTGTCAAGGTGCAGCCTTACATATGCAGTCAAATCACACATTTATTTCATAAATATTTGTTACTTTGAGTAGTGCACCCTGGCATTGTGGAAGAGATTGTCTTAACAGCTTCTGATCTGAAAGTGATGAAAAGACAGTGGGGCTGAAGGATTGCAGTGGCGTTTGCTTTTGGTCTCTTAAACTTGGATGTTTATCTTGGTTGGTTACAAGCAAAACCCCAAGATAAACAGAAAAGCCCCCCCCCACACACACACACTTTTCATCTGTTAGGATTATATCCTTACCAGTATTCTCTATACATGAGTTTTTCTACTGTACTGTGGACACAGGTTTAAGCTTATCCATCAGCTCTGTGAGCTCTCCCCTGATATCAGGTACTTTGTGTTGTTTTCACGTGATTTGTTACTTTAAAAAATTGAGGAATAGATATTCTTGTGACAGGAACTGTTTTTATGTTGAACCATCTCAAATTTACTATCCTTTTCTATGCATGTGCCTGCGTTTTCCGGATTTAATTTGCAGATATCTCCTTTTGTTCAAATTTGTTGGTGTTTGTGCTCCTGGGAGGAGCAACCACAGGTTCTCTTCTATATAATGTAAGCAGCCACTGCAATGACCTACAGACTTTTATAAAGCAAACTGTGTGGGAATGGTACAAGTCACCTTTCAGTTTGTTGAATTGGGTGTTTGTTTTGTGTGAAGATGAAAAAAAACTTGTAATAAAAAGAGTAGGTTGGGATTATTGTACCATTCCCACACCACGGTGAAATCTTATAATAAACACATCAAAACATAACCAAGAGATATTTTAGTAATGATGTCTGACATTATCAAAGCTTAGATTCCTTATCTGTGTTACACTAACTCCTGTCTCTACAGTGTGGGGAAAAAGAGTTCCCAATTTACAACTGCAGCAGAAAACAGGACTTTCCATGGTTAGCATTGCCGTGGCCATTCTCAAACAGGCCATGCCTACTAAGAGCAGGAAAAAATAACAGGGAAGATTTTGCACTGGAATCTGTTCTCAGATAAAGAAGGTGAGAACCAGAAAAAGTAGATCTCTTCTTCTGTCTGGTCCTTTCTATTTACATATGCTCCTTCCCCGTAGAGCATTTTAATGGCATGATTAACAGAAGTGCTTCTCCCAGACATCTTTTCCTGAACATGCTTTGAAATTAATGATTTCCGTTCTGCCTCAAAGACTGAATATTGAATGGTGGTTAATAGGGTTTTGGTAATGGTTCTGATATCATAAGGTATTAGCGTTCATGCTTGGAAGAAGGATTCCAGGAGGCCAACGGTAGAAGGCGCTCCTAGCCCGTATTCCACAATTGATTTTTTGGATGTCCTTTTAATATGGGGTACGATATCGGTCTCCGTTGAGGAGATGGCCCTTCTTCCAGGTAAATGGGAAAAGCTCAGCTGAATTCCAAGTCACCCGCTTTCTCTGCTTGGTCCCTAAATGCTGCCCACCTCTCCTCACGCTGTGAGGTGGCTGTACATCTGCCGGCACTGGGTAGACCTCTCCGTCCACGGGCAGCGCCATTTTTCCAGATGTTTCCATCCGGCCTGCTTGAAGTCTCATGGGTGTTGCCATGTTTATGACCTTGGAGGTCAGAGGAACCCAGTGAGGCGAGGGAAGAGGTGGAGCTGGCACAGGAGGGCGTGTCGATGACATAAGGAGGTGGAGCGATGGCGTTTTCGCGCACTAGATGTTCCCGCGGGCATCTCTTCCCACCCTCTCATGCGCCGCCATTTCATGAGGTGTTTTCCGAGCCCACACGTCTTCCCCGGCCGCCATTTTGTGAGGCGTTTTCTGAGCCCACATGTCTCCCCTGGCTGCCATTTAGTGCGTTAAGGTCCTCACGTCCTTCCCGACCGCCATCTTGTACAGTGTCCTTTATATATTTAATTAAAGGAGACTTTGGGGTGTTACAGTGCTCTTTTCTCCGTGTAGACGGACTTTGGGAACCTGATTTCTTTTTCGTCATTAGACCCTTTAAAGCCATCAGAACAAGTCTCCGTGCGATCAGGGTATTTGCTGCACCTTTCTCGCCTTTATCAATTGCCTGCCATAATTTGAAGCCCAATTCATCCCAGTCGTCATAGTTTAGAACTTCAGGGGTAAATTGTTCATTGCTTTCGAAACACCTTGCCAGACTCCAACCAATCAGGGGTTGAGGAGAACTGTGAGGGGAGAACATGTCTGGGCATGCTTTAACACGTTAAAACAAATGGAACTGGGGTATGTTTGATTAAACACATGCATTGACAATAATAAAACTATGTTTTCTTGAGGAACTGTCTTTAACATGGTGCTCCAACGATGCATTCTCTCTTACAAAGGTCTCTCAGTCTCCGCCATCATCTGCCTCAGATGTTTCTTCCACACACGAAGTTGTTCTTCTTCACTTAAATCAGCTCCTACACTTTCCCATCACAGTGTATGCAAGTAACACTGCTTAGGTTTTACTTGTTTTGACCCTTACTTTTAGTGATTCCCCACACACACAAACATTTCTTTTCTCCCTTGAATTTATATGTGCCATCCTATCAATTTTCCAGGATACTCTGCCAGCTCATAACTGTATGTGCCAAGCTTTCAAGAATGATCAGAATTAAAATTTATGGGTAGCTTCCTTAGAAAGTGTTAGTATGACTAGTAATCACGAATAAAACTGCTATTTTAGATCAAACCAGCTTAAGCTAGATATCCATAATAGCTTTTGAATGAAATAAATACAGGAAAAGATATTGAAGATAGATACCTTAAAGTAGAAATGGCTTTTGAATATTGATGCAGCTGAACCTAGAAAGGTGGGTTTGTGTTTACTGCACATTTATGGTGAAGTCAGCCCTATACTTGATGGAAATAAGTTTTGAGGCTGGAGTTTTATAAAAAATCAGGTTTTATAAACATGGGAAGAGCCTGTGTGTGTTGTCTCCCTAACGTATTATGATTTCTTTGAATTATTTGTGCAGTGAAAGGACGTTTAGAAGGGAACACCCAGGACATGTCACGGGCCAACAGCTTCACTGATGACATTGACCTCGTATCAGAAGAGTCACCCCTGCCAGCTGTATCCGATGTGGCACAGTAAGTGGGACAACAGCTCTTTAATTGATAATCTAAATGCTCATTAATAGTGAGGGAGACTCGTCACTGAATCAAAATATTATTCTTTGACTGGCTGAACTTGAAGTGATTATGAGTTTGAGCTCCTTTAACTAAACATGAACAGAAGTCGTCCAGACACTTGGAAAAATCAGCACTGTGCACTCAGCTTTGTGATGGGTGCAGTCTTGGTGTCTTTATTGTTTTACTTTGTAAGGCAGCTGACAGAGTTCCTGAGATTGAGCTTTACAGGCAGTTTTATACTTTGTAGAATTCTGCATCAGTTTAAACTCTAAGGCAGTCCTAATATGAGCAGTGTATGAATTGAAACATAAAAAAAAACTCAAATGAGGTCATGCTTGCAAGAGAAAATATGGACTTGTCATTGGAAAAACCCTTTAGTAAATATCTGAGACTGAAGGGGGAAAAAAAAGAAAGAACAAAAATTGTTGCTTGCCTTCAGCTAGGGAAAAATGTCAACAATGGTGTTTGTTCAGGATGAATTTGAAAGCAATGATTCCATTGTAGAGAATGATTGGTTTTAAGATCTCACATCATATGGTTACTTTCTGTCCAGGTAACTCATACAGATGATGTGTCTCCTGCATCTATAGTAACTATACTTTGCTTTCCTACTGGATATCCTGGTGCTTTTAGTTTCCCAGCATGCTAGATTTTGGATCTGCTTTCAAATCAGAATTATAAATTGTTCTACTCCAATTTGTTGGTTTTGGTTTGGTTTTTCATTTGTTGTGGGGTTTTGTTTTGTTTGGTTGTTTGTCTGTTCGTTTGTTTTCCCAAATCAGTGTGGTACAAGCACAGGGTTTTACATTAAAAAAAAAAAAAAACAGTTCTGATTTCTACTGTTTAGTGCATGAAAAAATGGAGGTATTTTATGTCATTTTGTGTAGTGCACCTTGCAAATGATACCTGCGGTTTTAGTTCATGTTAGAGTTTAAATGCATTACACTCTTGTGGGGAAAGTAAGAAAAAGAAAGCAGAAAGCTAACCAAATGCACAAATGCAAAAAAAACACCCTGAAATAGGGAGAGATTCAAAGTAATATACTATTAAATCAATAATTTCTCATGGTGGGGATGTCAACAGAATGATCTTGTAACTGGAAATTGCTAAATTAATGATTTTTATGTTCTAAGGCTGACCACAGATAAAGTATGTATAATTTTTAATCTCTGAATGTTTGTACTGAACCTCAAATGTACAGAAAGTGTACGGCCAAAAATTATAGATGTAATATAAAGTTAAAAGGTGCCATGTAAAAATAAAATCAAAACATCATAACTTGTAACTTGATGGTTCTCAAGTCAAACTTGCCAGTTTTCACCTCTGTCGCTGATCATCTCATTTTCTGTGCGCAGTTCTACCTCGTAGGGTTCATTTAAGAGTTGACCTGATTCTTGAGTAGAAATTTATCATTTCATTGTTCAAAATGTGAGCTTCACTGGAGGAGCACAGATCATGGTGTATTTATGGATCTTGCTTTTAAACTGTCGATTCTAATGAAAACAACAAGCTGTTGACACTGTGTTTGCCTGATATGCACACCTTCTACATCAACACTAGATATACTCAGCATAATTATTTATCTTGTCTTTTAGCAGAAGTGTAAGCAGGTAAGTCTGTGTGTGTGTGTTACACTTGCCTTGGTGTGTGAGCTTTCCCAGAACAGCATGGCTTTTGCTCTTCACTTAACTAGTGCAACGAGTTTTCATCCTAGAGCCACAAAAGCAGTCAATGATTAGACAAAAATATGTACACACTGTGAGCCTTCTCAGTTTGCAAAATGAGTGAAATCATGGCTTTCATGTTGCAGTTAATGACAGTATCCTACGATGATGACGACAGATTCATGTGGAGCACTTGGTGAACTCAAGTTTGACTCTGTCAAGCTGCCAAAAGGCAAAGTTTTCTTTGCCTTCAACAAGTCTTGTGGGCTAAAAAAATCACTCCTGTAGTAAACCTTTCTTTCAAAGCCAGGAACTGGTCATTTTTTAAACTTCTAAGCTGCTGTGTTGATTATTAAACATGAAATGGCAGGTAATGTTCTGAGGGGTTTTTTTCTGTAATGTGAACAACAGATTCTTTTGAAATCTGCTCTGCTGGACTGATGATAGGAGAGATGTTCTCTGGTGACAGTAACCTTTACTTTAGGCCATACTCTCTTCTAAACTCCTTTTATTGTGTGGGAAGGGCACAGGAGAAGGAAAAGAGCTGATGCTCTGGAGGTCTGCAAAATGAGTGATCTGCAAGCTTGCTAATTCTTTAGCTGTGTCCATAAACAGCAAAAATGCAAAGAAAACATCTCAAAAGTGTGTGTGAATTTGGTAAGTAACACGTGGAAGAAAGGAGGAGAAATATACATCAGACTGAGAGCTGGGACAGAAAACCTTAGTGGATTTTGGGTCCTTCCTAGCCCAAACATTTAAGGCCAGCTGCTCCCAACAGCTGGCTCAAACCAGAAATTATAGTTGTGCTTTATATGTGCTTAAGTGGCCGTCTCTGGGGATGGGTGTGTGGCTTGGTGGATGAATGTGTCCAGAGGAGAGCAACAAAGCTGGTGGAGGGGCTGGAAGGTACATTTTGTGAGGCTGAGAACTCTGGACTTGGACAGCTTGGAGAAAAGGAGGCTGACAGGTGACCTCCCTGCTCTCTGAAGCTGCCTTAGGAGGGGGGAGATGCTGAGAGAGGTGCTGGTCTCTTCTCCCTGGTGTCCAGTGACAGGATATGGTCTGATGTTTGGGCTGGATGTGGTGCTGCAGAATGTTGAGACAAGGGCAATGAAGCTGGTGAAATGTCTAGAGGAAGTCATGTGAGGAGCAGCTGAGGGAGCTGCAGATGTTTAGCCAGGAGAAAAGGAGGTTCAGTGTGGATCTTAGCACTTTCTGCAACTCCCTGGAAGGAGGTTGTATCCAGGTGGGGTCAATCTCTTCTCCCAGGTAAGAAGTGACAGGACAAGAGAAACAACTGGATGGTTTAGTTGACAGGTATTCAGTCAAAAGTTGGACAGGATCTTGAGGTCTTTTCCAACTTTAGTGATTCGGTGATTATGAAAAATTTCTCTGCTGGGAGGGTGGTCAGACACTGGATCTGACTTCTAGAGAGGTGGTCAACGCCCCAGGCCTGTCAGTGTTTCAGAGACATTTGGACAATGCCTTTAATAATATGCCTGAACTTTGTCAATTGGTCAGGAAGTTGGGCCAGATGAGCACTGGAAGGGACCTACAAGGCACTTACATACCCTTGAAGTATTAAAACCCACTCTTGAGGAAGAAGAAGAAGAAACAATAGCATCGTTCTTATGCTGAATTGTGCAAATGTTGTTTGTCTCCTGGATTCTACCTGGCTGCACTGGAGCTTTGCAATAGTAAAGGAGACCACTGAAATAACTTTAGGCCTTATTTTATTTTTTTTTTAATCTCCTGCTGGTCTTAGTGTTAGGCAGATTGTGATGACAACAACCCTTGGCCATTAAAGTATTTTCTGTCGTACACGCCAGAGTTAACCTTCCAACAGGAAAGAGAGGATTTGGCCAATAGACTGCATTGAAAGATTACATCAACCTGGTTCCAGATAGCAGCGTCTCAGGAAAAATGCACACAGCACCAGCTTCAGAGGCAGACATCCTGTTTTTGTTTTTCAGAGCTCTTTGGTTTAATGCTGTGGTGTTTTCAGCTCTTTATACACTGTAAGGGAAAGCAAAAGTTGGAAATCCTTTGTGTCGGCGCGGCGAGGCGACCGTGGCTGAGCGCGCGTTTTTGCAGCTCGCTGAGGTCACACAGAGGTAAATGTCGGCTGGTCTCTCAGCAGAGGTAAATGTCAGCTGGTCTCTCAGCAGAGGTAAATGTCGGCTGGTCTCTCAGCAGAGAGCAGGGCAGTGCTGCAGTTCAGCAGTCAGCACCTCAGCCCTCCAGGGAGGAAACCTTTGGAGGGTGAGATCCACGTAACAGTGACCACGGGCAGTGGTAAATGCCGTCAGTGAACAGCTGTGGTAATAACTCTTCAGCTGTAATGGGCTGCCCCGGCAGGGATGGCTACACCTGTTCCCCACGGGGAAAGTGTTGAGAGGGAGACCAACAGTTGCTCTTCTTCATGGGGCTCTGCCCACAACAGAGTCAAGTCACGTTAAGGGACTGACTAAAACTGTTCCGTGCAGAAGTTTAGAAAGCATTAATGCCTTGGGCTGCAACAGAATAACATAAATCTGTGCAACGTGACCACAAAAATGGCTCACTGCTTCAGTTTAAGGCCTTAAAGTGGTGTAATAGAAGCACAGAGATGTGAACGTGGAAGCCACCCAATATCCACCGTTCCCACCTCCAGGTTTCTTTCTTTCCAGCTCGTAGTACAAAAGCAGCTCTTAGACTGTACAAGGGAGATCTTATCTGCAAAATGATTAGCAGAACAACCCAACGTGAGTATGTGGTTATTAAACAATCCAATGAACTCTGAAGAGGGGTGAAAAGATAGGTCTGAAGTAAGGCAATGGCTGAAAAAACAAACCTCAAAACACTTGCTTCTAACAGGAGAAACTGAGACTCCGAGGGTGAGAGCAGCTGAATGCTTTGCTCTGTGTCATCAGTGGTGAATCCTGATGCAAAAGGACTCTACCACTAGTTAGTCTTCAGTGAGGAGCAGGATCTTCTGTGAGAACTGAGGCCTTTTGAAGCAAAGGGGTTATTTTTGCCTGTTGATGTTTGTACTCGCTCCAGGCTGCCCAGAAGAACAGGGCACCAAAACTGCTCCCCACTTCATTGGAACCAGGTTCTGCAGAGGTTGAGGGGGTACCTTTAGCACTGCTGTTTACTTAAGTGTAAAACCCCCCCATTGTTAGTAATCCATGCAGCTACATTCTAAGGAAGATGCTTCATAAATAGTCTTGGAATCCGGTTTTGCTCTTTAAAAACAAGTCTAGGAACAGTGCAGGTTGTTTGTTTGTTTGTTTTTCTAGTGGAAGTAGTTTA